TAGCAAGGTTTAATAGGAATGCTTTACTTTCAAATAGTGGGGAAAACCTATATAGGGATCTCGAGGTCTACAGAGTGATCTCTGCTAGAGATGTGAATTTGGGTGTTGTTAACCTGCAGGTGATAACTTAAATAAAGGGTTTTGAAAGTGATCATCCAGAACAATATGTACAGTTTGAAGATCAGAGAGTATAGGAAACATTGTGAAATGGTTAAGATTGAGTGGAGAAAGAGTGTGACAAAGAAACTAGAAGAAATAGTTAGGGCGAAACCTAGGAGATAGTGATGTCATAGGCTCCAAGAATGGAGTTTCCAGAAGAAGGGAAGCTCATTAATATGCTGTGGTAGTTAAGGTTATGTGTCAACTTACCTGGGCCTAGTTTTGAGTGGTGGGGCAGCTGGATGTAGTTATTCCTCATGGTGAGAATGGTAATCAGCTCCATGGTGGAATCTACTGGAGCAACTGAGTAGCTGCTTTAGGGATGTGGTCTGCTTCCAGTACATAAGAAGCAACTTTGAGAAAGGTCTCTGGCTTATGGCACGCTTGGATCCTGCATGTAGCTGAGTCTTTGGTCAGCAGCCTGCCATGCTATTTGCTGATCTTGGGACTGTTCATGGAGTTGAATCAATGGCCTGTTGTGTGATTGGTAACATCGGGACTGTGCCTTTTTACTTGTCAACTTTGAAGCTTCTCAGCCTCAGCAGCCAACAGCTGTCTGAGTGAAGAAAGCTTCCAGCTTCAATGGGGTGGGAGCAAGAGGCAGAGCTGAAGGCCAAGGTTGAAGAGCTTTCACCCAGCCCCTAGAAACTGGCACTTTGAACTCAGACATGTAGCCTGCAAAACTGTAAGAGAATAAATCCCTGTTTGTTTGAAACCACCCATTTGTGGTATATTCTGTTAGAGTCTCACTAGGTAACCAAAATACATGTGCTCTGGAGAACTATAAAGAAGGATAAAGTCAGAAATTTTAATTTGATTTTATAATTATTGAAAAGACAGTATCTTAAATGACAGCCACACTGGACTAATGAAGATTGAGTTGAAGAAGGAGAAAATTGACACAGTGATTATAAATTGCTTGATAAAGAAATTTTGTTTATGAAAGGAGCTATACTAGGATATTGGCAGCTAGTGGGAATTGTGAGGGTTGGGGTGTCCTTTCTCCTCCCTCTCCATTTTCCTTCCGTAAACCTTTCTTCTTCTTTTTCTCTTTTCCTTCCTTCCTCCCTCCTTCCTTCCCTCTACTCTATCAAACTTCCCTCCTTTTATTTTTTTTTAATATGATAAACTTGAACATTTATCATTACATTATGAGAATCTAACTTGGGAAAGTATGACATCTTAGATTATGACTATGACTGTAAATAAGAATGACTTGAGATACTAAAATGTTTAGATGTTAGATCAGAATAATACTGTTAAAGTTTTTTTTTTTTTTAATTCAGTATCATAGCCCTTTATGCACAAAAATAAACAACTTACTCAACGAATTTAATAGTAAATTTTAAAATAATAATAGAAGTTATATTAACACTCTGGTAGCACAGTGGCTAAGACACTTGCCTGCTAACCAGACGGCTGGTGGTTCAAACCCACCAGCCACTCCTCGGAAGGAAGGTTGGGCATTCCTACTTCTGTAGTGATACTGCCTCGGAAACCCAAGGAGGGGTCGCTATGAGTCAGGTTTGACTCGATGGCACATAACAACAACAACAACAACAATATTAACACTGTGCTAACTGCTTATATTTTAGCCAATTTAAACCTCATCAGCAACCTTTTTCTCATTTAACAGATACAGAAAGTGAGGCATATGGAAGTTAAGTAACTTGCCCAGTATTCTACCTTAGTATGACAATATGGCTCCAGAGTTCATGCTGTTAATCACAGGGCTATATTATCTACACCATACTGTATTACTTATTCTCTTAACTGAAAATTCATGAGCAATATTTTTGTTGTAAATTGTAATTCAGAATTAGAAGATAGAGTAATATGTTCTGGAGAAATCTCATCATATAGCATAGTTGTATTCTCACTTCTCTGGCATTTAACTGTAAGGATCAATAAAATCAATTTGATTCTTTTAATTTCTTTTCTGACACCAGTTGCACATGCATCACTTCTTCCTCTGACTCTTTGTACCCAAAGCTAGGGCAGATTTTATGAGTTAGGTTAAGGACATAGTTCTTCTGATTGTCAAATCTGCCTAGGACTTCAGACACCATTCACACACTTGGAAGTCCCCATGACACCCTTACTTCTGACCTGCTGGCTACAAATTCATATTTTTCCACTGTCCCTTCCATCTGTAGGATTGGGAGTCCCCAGGGCCCCCTTCCTTCCGACCTGCTGACTCCCACTATTCATTCACTTGGGTTCACTACTTTCCTGGAACAGCTCATGGAACTCACGGAAAGTGATATTTTAGGATTATAATTTTATTATAGTAAATGGATACAAATGATGAGATGCAAAAAGTGAGGTCTGGGAGGGTTCCCAACATGGAGCTTCCATGTCCCAAAAAAGGAATGTGCTGCTGTTCCACACATGTCCATGTCTTTCACCAACCAGGAAGCCCTCGGACCTTTTGTTTCCATGGCCAGTGTAGGGCTTCATTATGCAAGCATGATTGATTGAATGTTACCTTCTACTCGTGGTTTTTCTAGACCGGTCAGTCCCTGTCTGAGTTACCACATTAGTATAAATACACAATTGTGGTCTGGAGGCCTACAGAATACAAGGCCAGAAAAACCAAACCCATAGTCATTGAGTCATTTCTGACTCATAGTGATTTCATTGGGTTACTAAGGCTATAAATTTTTATTGAAGAAGATAGCCTAATTTTCCTCCTGCGGAACAGCTGGTGGGTTTGAACTGCCAACCTTCTGGTTAGCAGCCAAATGCCTTACTGACTATGCAAGGTACCTTAATTACCTAGGAAATTCAAATGGTTTAGAATTCTCTCTCAAAGACCAAATTCTTTGGTAAAATTAATAATAAATGCCACAATGATGACTATTAGGAAAAAAAAAATACTGAAAAAGGCATGTAAACGATAAACATCACTTAAATTCTGTTTTTTAAATATTTTATTAAAGTGGCATGCCTGTGGATAAAGCTAGAATAACTTAATTACCCAGGAGCCATGGTGGCACACACAATTAAGTGCTTGAGTGCTGATTGAAAGTTTGACAGTTCAAACCCACTTAGTGGCTCTGTAGGGGAAAGATCTGGTGATGTGCTTCTGTAACGATCACAGCAAGGAAAACCCTATGGGGCAGTTCCACCCTTTTGCATGAGGTCACTATTAAGTTGAAATTGACTTGACGGTGCATATCATCACCACCACCCCCATCACCAAAAAACCAAACTCACTGCCGTGGAGTCAGATCTGACTCATAGCGAGCCCTCCTTGGGTTTCCAAGGTGGTATCGCTACGGAAGTAGATTGCCCCATCTTTTTTTCTGAGGAGTGACTGGTGGGTTTGAACCATTAGCCTTCTGGTTAGCAGTCAAATGCCTTAGGCATTACACTACCAGAGCTCTTACCATGGTATAGTATCTAAAAATAACAATATTGCTATGTAATAAAAACATACATAAGATAATTAGTTATCCCCTAGAGAACTAATCAGGAATTTATATGTTCTGTACTTTGTTATAATACTTAATAGCCTTATAAATGTCTCTCTTTAGGAAAAAATGCAGTTGCCCTTGTGAGCTGCCTTCCAGAATTTATGGTAGACTTCACTGACGTTGCTACTCATGCCAATGTGGAATAAAGGTCTTTATAGTTCAGAAAATCAAAGCATATAAATGACTTACTGCTCAAAATGATTTACTTTTACTCTTTCAAAGTTGAAAACACATGAAAAAACAGATTTATTTTATATTTTAGAAAAAAATATTTGAAAATAGACTAATGTAGACAATTTTTTGCTCTTATCTGTATTTTTGTTTTATGTGATGTTTGGTAATTGTGAACTCCAGTCCTAATCTAATGATGTTTTGTTGTGAAAACTTTTCAAAATTCTCTTTCAACCTTATTTACTTTTTCTTTAGAAACAATCAATTGAGCAAGATAAAATTAGCTTTATTTTAACCTAAAAAGTGTTTTTGATACAAAAGAATTTAACATAGAGACAGTTGGATTAGTTGTTTCAAAGTAATTGTTCTTCTCCTTATTTCTTTTATTGTAATAAATGTTTAATTGGTTTCACTTGCCTGCTAGGCCATAAGACCATTGGATATATGGGTACATATCCCTTGTTTCTGCTCTCTTCACTGACTAATACCTGTGCCTGGCACTGATAGGCACTCCCAAGAATTTTTGTTACCCCAATGAATGGATATATATTTCAATACTTTTTATGAGTTGGAAATGTATTTATTTATTTAAAAATTTATTGTGGTGAAATATATGTAGCAATACTGTGGTGAAATACGCAAAACTTTTCAACTATTTTTACCTGTATAATTCAGTGACATTGACTATATTCACTATTTCTTACAACATTCACCATTATGTGTTTCAAAATTGTTTCTTCACCCTAGACAAAAACTCTGTACCCCTTAAGCATTACTCTCCCATCTTCCTTTCCCATCTTCTTTAGTAACTACTAATGAACTCTGGTCTCTATTCATTTGCCTATTCTGGATATTTCATGTGAATGGGATCATACCATATTTGTCCGTTTGTACTGATTTAGCAGATGTATTTTTTTATGGCAGTGTGTTAGTATGTAAACATTATGATATTATTAAATTTCTCTGTTTAGTATGATATAAATATGTCATATTAAATTTGAAAACATCAGTTTTAGATTGTAGATATATTGAAATGAGTAATAGTGATAGACTCTTCCTTTTTATTCTCATTGTTTTTCCATCCCTTATCCCTTTTCCTTCCTTTCCTCTCCCTCTTTGTTTCTACCTATCCTCTCTCTGTTTTCTTGTAAATAATTCTATGCTTTTTTTTGTTTGTTTGTTCTCCATTAGTATCTGGAGTCCATCTTTCCCCAGCTTCTCCTGAGATTATACTGGACCACGATCACTCTTCGCCTTCTGTTGGCTGCCTCTCTTCTGATCCCATTTCATCACCAGAGAATACACATGCAGACAACAGCATTGTCAGTCAAACTGTTCCAAAAGCACAGGTAAAGACACAAATATTGTTAAAGGACATTTTCATACTTTCAAAAAAAAAAAACATGGAGATTCAGTTAAAATTTTGTGAGTTTTCTTTTTAAGACCTATGGCATGAGTATTGATAAGCATTTTTATTTTTCTAAAAAAAGTGTTTCAGCAGTAGCTATTCTAGTTTTGAGAATAATACCTATAGCTAAAAAAAAAAAAAAAAAGGGATACTCTTTATTTTGGGCACAATTTGCAAGATATTTAATTATCTGCGGTTACCAAAATATGGTTGTGATATCTCATTTATTAAAGTTGAATTAACTTGCATTTCAGATCTTGAACTTCAAAAAGGAAATAATCTATAAAAGGAATGGTTATTTCTCTTTAGGAAATCTTACAACGTCTTAAAATATTAGAGCATCCATTTCAATTTTAGAGTGAAACCCAAAAAGACAGCTGTTCATAGGATTTATTCATTTAAATATTTATTGACTCTTCCTTCGGGAATATGACTAGTATTATTTAACTTAATATGACATGTAAATGTCATATTAAACAAAAATAAAAAAATGATTTAATAATGTAGTGTTTATGTACCAACTCATTGCCATAAGAAATACATTTGATAAGTCAGATACAAAAGTATCAATAGTGTATGGTCCGACTTATATGAATAGGTAAGTGGTAGAGTTAATTCAGACCCAAACTTCTGTGCACATTCTTGAGTCACCAGTTATCTTTGCTAAAATTGATGATCAAATAGGGGTCATTGATAAATTTCAAATTCTGATTTACAACTTAAAATAAAGAGATTTTCTTTGTGTGTGTAAAATCAAAAACTGGTATCAGATGTGTCTATACCTAATTTCACACTGAATCACAATCAAAGTTTAAGTTTTTTAGTGCTGTGCTAGCAAGATCATAAATTGTTTAGATTGTAAATAGAAGAAATTTTGTTTCTTCCTGAAAAGATCAGGTTTGTAACAGTTTGAGGTCTTCTGTTGATTTATTTAAAGGATGAAATAATTTCAGAACTTTTGCTACAACTTAATTTCCAAAAGTGGTTTCTGGTGCCCTTTGGATATTTTCATTATTGGTACAGTGTAAACTTTCCTCTCTTGTTTCTTTTTCTTTTTCTTTCTTTTTTCCCCCCTTAATGTGGTTTAGATTCAGCAATCAACACACACTCATTTGGATATCTCACTTTTTCCATTGGGTTTAACTGATGAGAAAAGTAATGGAACAATTGCGCTTGTGGATGATTCTGAGGATCCTGGAGCCAATATATCCAGCATACAGCTTCAGCAAAAAATTTCAAGTCTGGAGATTAAACTCAAAGTTTCTGAAGAAGAAAAACAGAGAATTAAAAAGGTATGCTTACATTTGCCTAAAAAATAAATATTTGAATTGTATATACTGGGCATTTGATATAATTCTAAACTCTGATTAAAATCAGAGGAAGAAGATATTACCTACCTTTAGCCCTACATTTAAATCAGTCACATGAGTTTATCAGTTGGAAAAGCCTTTGATAGGCAATCTTTAGTCTTACACAAGTACTTTTTTTTCTGCACTGAAATGAAATTTCTTTTTGTGAAAAATGTTCATACAGATGTAGATGTGAAATATTTGTGAAATAGTTAAAAAAGTACTACTGCCAGAACAATAAAATTAGAACATGGTATTTTTCCCTCTAATACATGATGAAATTAACTGGGTCGATTCAGTGTTATTCAAATAACACATGTACTTGTGAGAGGAATCTTTTTTAGATTTTGTTGGGTTTTCTAACTAATGCTTACCTTTCTAGTTTATTTTTTACTTGTCATCTAAATTTTGAAAGCAGGTAGTATTGTGTTTCCTACACAGATGAGTAGTATTATAATAACGGCTTCCCTCTTTATGGAATTTAAAGCACTAACATATGAAGTATCATGGGCTATTTGATTGGAGCCTTAGATTTACAGCTGTTTTAATAAATTAATTGTTAATACTCATTCTCTTCTCTATAAATATGTCTTAAAAAAGATCTTAGTATATAGAAAATATATGTAGGGATTATATTGATTGAAATTAATTGAAATGGTCTTATCCATTTATTGGGATACTTTTAATACTGTCTCCGTGTTTTGATATTAGTCTAGAAATTAGAGTGAAACATAAAATCTGTAATGTTGTTGAACTTTAAATCATACTTCTGTGGTTCTTTTTCTGCCAGATATTTTCTGGTATGTGTAATGAAAAAAAATGAAATATATTTTATGCCATTAAGTATTACTAAGTTTTTGATTGGATTTTTCTTTTAGGATGTGGAAGCATTAATGGACAAGCATAGTGTCTTAGAAAAAGGCTTCCTGAAAGAAAAAGAGCAAGAGGCCATTATTTTTCAAGATAGATACAAAGAACTTCAGGTAAGCTCGATGAAATTAACATTCAAAATGTAGACCTTTTGATCAGGCATTTAGTGTGATTTCAAAATGTCCTCAGTCCCAGCCATCTAAGGTGCAGCTAATAGTTTTCTATTGTCAGAAGCAAAGAAGAGTGCAAAAAACAAACAAACAAACAAAAAAAAAAACCCAAGGACATTAAGAAGCAATCAGCCCTAGGACATGATGGACTTTGAGACCAGAAGAACTAGATGGTGCCCAGCTACCAACGCCAACCACTCAGAAAAGGATCAGAACTGGAGATCCTGGATAGAGTGGGGGGAAAAATATGGGACAAACTCCAAAAACACAGTAACAACCAGAGGATGGAGTCTGGTGGGATCCCCAATACTATGGCCCTGGGATACACTTCAGGCCTAGAATAAAACTCGGGGAAAATAAAAATGTCCTCAGTTCCCTTTCTTTGCTTTACTTTTTCCCTAGCATTTATTCCCATATTTTATTTTAATTTACTTATTATTTGTCTCCCCTGCTGCTTCATCACCTGAGTTAAGCTCCCAGAGATTAGGGACTTGACTTCTCCTTGCCTAGAGCAGTACCTGGTGTTTAGTAAGTGCTCAAAAAGTATCACTGAATGACTGACTGATGGATAAATACGCTAATTACATTGTGTATGTCCGCACTTACGAGCCCTTTACTTGGAATTATGGTGTTTACTAAAAGGCACAGGAATGTCTATTGAGAGAAATTTGCCTTTTTTGTTTTCATTGACATTCTGAGTCCCGTAATGAAATGTTTACTTTTGCGAAGTTTTTAATATGTTAATGGAGTAATAGCTCACCTAAGAGACCACAAAGGATCTGGCAGATAGCACTTTAAGCTTTTTATAGTAAAAGACCAATATAAATGCCAAATTACATTATCATATTGTCTTACTGTTTTTGCTGTTAATAGCAGTAGTCTGAGTAAGTACTTGGATCTTAGCAACTGATATTCAATTTGAAAAGCTCTTCCTCTTCTCAGAAGTTTCCAAAGAAAACTTTTTTTTCAGATGATTTTATTTCAGTACCAGTAGGCCTATTTCTGAGTTGGATCTAACTCATAGCAACCCTTCCTTGGGTTTCCGAGGCCGTATCACTATGGAAGTAGATTCCCCAACCTTCCTTCCCAGGAGTGGCTGGCGGGTTTGAACTGCCAGCCTTCTGGTTAGCAGTCAAAATGCTTTAGGCACTACTCTACTAGAGCGCCTCCATTGTTAAGTACGTGATATGAAAATGTACTAGGAGGTCTTATAATCAAATTGAACTCAAATGCAGACATACATTTTAGCTAATATATCTGTGCACCATTTGTATGGAAGCATTTTTTGTTTTTTTGTTATAGTTCCATAGGTCTTTAAGGGTCTGTTCTCCCCCACTCCCCCTTTCTTTTTAATGCATTTTTTTCTTCAGTTGTTGTTCAGACTGGGTAATTTATATTGTTCTGTCTTAAAGTTCACCAATTTTTTCTTCTGTCCCCACTGTTTTGCTGTCTGGTCAATTTTTTTTTTTTCTTTCTTTTTTTAAATTTGGGTTGTTGTCGTTTTTATTTTTAAAATTATCACTTGATTTTTCTTTATATTTTTCTTTCTTTGCTGAAAATTTCTATTTTTAAATTTATTTCAAGTATATTTATAACTACTTGTTGAAACATTTTTATGATAGTTGCTTTTTAAAATGCTTGTCTGATAATTCTTGTATTGGGGTCATGTCAGTTACTGTCTATTGATGTTCTTTTCTCATTCAAATTGAAAATTTCCTGATTCTTGTTATGATGATTGATTTTTAATTGTATCTTTGGCACTTCAGTATTTGGTATTTTGGACCTTATTTAAATCTTGTACATTAGTAGACCTCTTTAGCACCAGTTGGGGAAAGGAGGTGCTACTTTGTTACTTTTTTTTAAAGAAAAAAAAACAAGCTCACTGCTGTTGAGTTGATTCCAACTCATAGTGACGCCCTTTGGGTTTCTGAGTCAGTAAATCTTTATGAAGTAGATTGCCTAGTCTTCCTTCCATGGAGTGGCTGGTGGGTTTGTACCACCAACCTTCTGGTTAGCAATCAAGTTTCCTACTTAAGTCCCTTTGATATCCTGTGGAAGATGTGTGACTTGTTATTGCTGTTAGGAGGTGGGATTTTAGGCTCCCCATATGCCTTCACTAATACCACTCTGGCTGGGAGGAGAAGTACCTTGAGACTGTTACCCACGTGCCTATACTGATACCACTGGGGTAACGGAGGCCTTGTTACTTCTGGATTTCGCTAAAAGTTCTGGCTTCCTTCTTAGCCTCCTATGACACAGGCTGGGAGGGGAGTTGATCCTCCGTAGCTCCTGGTGGGAATGAAAGTTCTAGCTCCCCCCTTCGTTTTCTCTGATACCAATTCAGAGAACAGCGAGTAACACCTCTTATAGCTGGACAGGTATAGAAGTCTAGGCTCTGCACTGATCTTTGCTGAGAGGTGTGGGATGGGCTCATGGTTTTTTTCCATGATGTTTGGCTGGCATAGGTCATTTATTGTCTAAAACTTTTCTGTTTTGCTAGGTTGCCTCTTTTCTGGTCTTTTGGCTAAGAAGAGAATGCTTTTCATTGGCCTTCTATGTCTGTGTGCATAGATATTTCCAAGTTTCTGGCCCTTCCAGTATCAGTCAGGATATATGAAACAGAGGAGAAAAGCTATGGATCTCTCCTGTTTCATTCAATGGGTTCCCATGTCTGAAGGTGGTCTGCCTTCTCTCTACCTTCCAGAATCTTTTTATATTTGATTTAAACACAACATTCAGCCCTTTTCACTGTATGTAGTAAGGAAAATGGAGAGGAAAAGTGCTTCTCATCTACTTTGGACTGGAAGTGGAATAAAAAGATCCATTTTTTACTTTTAGTGTTCTTTGTTTAACTCTAAGGAGCTCTGGTGGTATAGTGGTTAAGGCATTTGGCTGCTAACCAAAAGATTGGTGGTTTGAACCCACCAGCTGCTCTGTGGAAGAAAGATGGGGCAATCTGCTTCCATAAAGATTTACAGCCTTAGAAACCCAGTGGTGTCATTATGAGTTGGAATTGACTCTGTGGCAGTGAGTGAGTGAGTTGTTTAACTACATCCAGAAATTGACTTGAAAGTTATTAATTTAAAATATGTAATTTTGAGGTGTTTCTTTTATAAGGAAAAAAACAATACAGCAGTCATCACTCATCAAGGCTCAGTGAATGGAGGAGGAGGAATAAAAATATGAATAACTGAAAATGGCTAGAGATAATCCATAATCTTTAAACCGGTTCTTTATATTTGCATATACATGTGTATGTGTTAGACATTCTGAAAATGTATTTTCAAAAAATATTTGAAAATATTTTGTTGTATAGATCTGATATATGCTCTGACATTTCTAGAATGTGTTTCTCTCTGGGGATATAGCCTTTATTCGAACTGGTACAGTTAATTCTATATAATAATTTCTTGCACATGAAGATGTGATTAAATTTGTGTCAAGAAGGACACTACATGCCACATACATATGTTGTTAGGTGCCGTCAGGTCGGTTCAGGCTCAGCAGAATGAAACACCGCCTGGGCCTGCGCAGTCCTTGTAATCACTGCTATGATTGAGCCCGTTGTTGCAGCCACTAGGCCACTCCATCTCGTTGAGGGTCTTCGCATTTTTCACTGATCTTCTGCTTTATCAAGCATGATGATTTTCTCCAGAGACTGGTGCCTTCTGATAACATGACAAAAATATAAGAGGCAGAGTCTCTCCTTCCTCGCTTCTAAGGAACATTCTGGCTGTACTTCTTCCAAGACAGATTTGTTCATTCTTCTCCCAATCCGTGGTATATTCAGTATTCTTTGCCATCACCATAATTCAAAGGCATAATTCTTCTTCAGTCTTCCTTATTCATTATCCAGCTTTTGCATGCATGTGAGGCAATTGATATCACCGTGACTTGGGTCAGGAACACCTTAGTCTTCAAAGTGGCATCTTTGCTCTTGAATATTTTAAAGAGGTCTTTTGCAGTGCATCTGCCCAGTGCAATATGATGTCTGATTTTTTGACTGCCGCTTCTATAGGTTTTGATTGTGGATCCAAGTAAAGTGAAATCCCTGAAAACTTCCATCTTTTTTCCATTTATCATTAATGTTGCTTATTCATCTAGTAGTAGGGAGTTTTGGTTTCTTTATGTTGAGGTGTAATCCATATTTAAGGCTGTGTTCTTTGATCTTCATCAGTAAGTTATTCAAGTCGTCTTCACTTTCAACAAGCAAGGCTGTGTCATCTATGTATCACAGGTTGTTAATCAGTCTTCCTGCAATCCTGGTGCTGTGTTCTTCTTCATATAGTCCAACTTCTCAGATTATTTGCTCAGCATAGAGATTGAGTGAGTATGGTGGAAGGATGCAACTCTGACCCCCACACTTCCTGAATTTAAACCATGTAGTATCCTCTTTTTCTGTTCAAATGACTGCTTCCTGGTCTGTGTCCAGGTTCCTTATGAGCATAATTAAATGTTCTGGAATTCACATTCTTTGCAGTGTTACCCATAACTTCTTACGATCCACACAGTTGAATGTATTTGCATAGTCAATAAAACGCAAGTAAAAATCAATTCTTTGATTTCAGCCAAGATCCATCTGACATCAGCAGTGATGTCCCTTTTCCATACCCTCTTCTGAATCTGGCTTAAATTTCTGGAAAGTGTACATCAATATACTGCTGAAAACATTTTTGGATTATCTTCTGCAAAAGTTTATTTGCATGTGATATTAATGCTACTGTTTGATATATTCTGCATTCTATTGGATCTCCTTTCTTTGGTATGAGCAAAAATAGGGATCTCTTCCAGTCGGTTGACCTGGTAGCTGTCTACCAAATTTCTTGGCATAAACAAATGAGCACCTTCAGCACTCCATCCATTTGTTGAAACATCTCAGTGGGTATTCAATCAATTCCTGGAGCCTTGTTTTTCTCCAGTGCCTTCAGTGCAGCTTGGACACC